CAGCGTTGTTTTAAGATGGGGGAGAAGTCTGTGTGCTGAGACAGAGTTCGTTTATAGGAAGAGGTTGTGGGCGCAGGAGGAAGAGGGTTCTGTTGTCCCAGGAAAGAGTCTGCCCACGTGGCAGGGGTGCAGGCTCCAGGGAGGCTGCCATCCTCCGTATCTGGCCAACACTGGGTTGGTACACAACCTATGGAGGTGAGAAGCATGGGCTGGGAGCACCAAAAATGATGCTCAGTGGGGGCCACCGGCGTTCACCTGGCACACTTTCCTGGAGTTTCGGGCCGGTTCTTCCTAGCTGGCTCTGGGTAGAGCCCATCACACTCTTAGGAGCCTCTCCTCACCTTCTGTACCGTGGTCCTCACCCAGAAATAGTCCCTAGGGACGCCATCCAAAGGACTTTTGCACCTTGTCCCTCCCATCACCGCTCCTTTTCTCCAGTCCCAAAAAGGGCAAATCCTGACGTGGTAAAGATGCTTTGTTTGAAAGCGCCACTAAAGAGATGCCAAGGTTAAGGTCAGAAGGACAATTCAGAGATTAGGCAAAAAGGGTTTTGTTTTTTACAGGGAGGAGTGAACCAGTACTGCAGGAAGAACATAGGGAGGAACGGGCGACGTGGTGAAGGAGGCTGTTGTTGCGGGCATCCTCTTGGGCTCTTACTCTCATTAATAATAGAATTTATAAATTGACTTAGAAGGGAGCTTGTGGACAATTTCATTAGTGATCAAATAGCAGACAAGCCATAGATCTCATCAATTGTAAAGAGGGAGTGTGATAGAAAGCAGGCAGGTTTAGTACTGCTGGGGGTAGAGAAGCAGCTATAAGGCAGAAAGGGGAGGGAGGCTTTGGGAAACAGGGCAAGGAAGCACCCAATATTTGGGAAAGCTTCCCCAGGCTTTAGTCAGTATCTGAAAGAAAAAGAGAAAAAAATCAAAAGAGTAAGTAGTAGACTTTCAGGCTGAGAGCTAGCTATGGAAGCTCGAAAGTGGTTGCATGGAGGAAGGGCTTCCAGGAAGGATAAGGGCGTTAGCTCATTAAGGGGATAATTATTCCTCCCTCTCCTTGACATGGTTTTCTTTTTTCTTTTTCTTTATTGATTTTATTGAGCTCTACATTTTTCTCTGCTCCCCTCCCTGCCTCTCCCCTCCCCTTCAACTCTTTCCCATGATCCCCACGCTCCCAATTTACTCAGAGGATCTTGTCTTTTTCTACTTCCCATGTAGATTAGAACCATGTATGTCTCTCTTAGGGTCCTCATTGTTGACATGGTTTTCAGTGGATCATTTCCCAAGGGTTGGTCTCTTAGCCAGGTGATTGACAAGCCCAGATAGATTAACTCTTATGGCAGAAGATTCTATAATTAATCTACTAATCCTTGGAACAGATCAAAATGTCAAGTCTCCATCCAGGTCCAGAGATAGAATCCATTCTTTTTACAGGGAAGAAATAACTTTTCTTTAATGGGCATCTATAGAGTCCTGATATCCTGAATGGTCTCTAAGACTATTGTAACATTCCCACTTCAAGAATTAAGACTCTACAATCATTCAGGAGATGAACTAAAACTGGGCGATGGGGAATAGATATAACTCACTCCCATTGTGAAAACTTAGAGGACCAGTGCCAACGCTGTCCAGAAACTCCTAGTGTCCGAACTGGAGTTTGGGCCACACTCTGTATACAGCCTCCAGGCAGGCTCTCTCGCTTATGAGAAGCCAGTAAGGACTCTGAGCCCCCCTCTGACCCAAGGGCAATACAAGAGTTAGAATTGTTCATGTTCTGAATCCTTGCTGAGCCTTCCAAACCAGTTCCTACCTTCTGTTCTCATCAGCACGACCTGTCGGTGCCTGAAGATGCTGTATTTTAGGGTACCCTTTCATCAGGAGGATGGTGCGCTTCTCTTGTTGAAGGTAGACCAAATTTCAGAGACCTGTTGGGGAGGTAATAATATTAAATGAAGTCTGGCTAACAAGAATTGTGTTCTGAATGATGAGAAGAGACAAACAGCCCAAAAAATAAATTTATTTTTATTTTCTTTCTCTCTTTCTTTCTCTCTCTTTCTCTCTTCCTTTCTTTCTTCCCTTTTCTATGGTCTTGCTATGTAGTTCAGGCTAAACTTGAATTCATTATCCTCCTGCCTCAGACTCTGGACTATAAGGATTACAGGTGTGAGGGCCCCATACTTTGCCTAGGTTGGTAAATTGTTTATGAGGCTAAAAATGGGATGCTTTTGGCTTTGTCTGGATCACAAGAGGACAACCGGAATCTTATCTTATCCTTCGTAGTAAGTCATTTCTCAAGCACAAAGGGACAGAGTATGGGATGTGGTTTCTAATCATTGCTATTCTCAGTGTCACAAGGCACAGTGATTTAGCATACCCATCACCAGTCTCACAGTTCCCTCTCTCACAGCAGCAGAACCCGCTATTTCCGGTAATAACTTTGAGGGAAAGGTCATGGGGTTGCCCCCTTTAACAGACCTCACGATACTACATGAGGTGCTGACAGTGTGATAGGCAGCAATATTTTATTTAATTTTTTTTCATTTTACATACCAACTCCGGTTCTCCCTCCCCTTCTCCTGCCCCCCCTTACCCTCCCATCCACTCCTCCGAGGGAGTAAGTCCTCCCTTGGGGAGTCAACAAAGACTGGCATACCAAGTTGAAGCAGGACTAAGCCCCTCTTCCCTGTATCAAGGCTGAGCAAAGTATCCCTTCCTCTATAGTGAATGGACTCCCAAGTCTTGGCCCCACTGCCAGGCCCTCCCCTGCAGTAGACCAAGTCACAGAACTGTCACCCACATTCAGAGGGCCTAGATTGGTTCTATGCATGTTCCCCAGCTGTCAGTCCAGAGTCCGTGAGCTCCCACTAGTTCAGGTCAGCTGTGTCTGTGGTTTCCCAACCATGATCTTGACCCATCCCTTGCTCATATGATCCTTCTTCTGTCTCTTCAACTGAACCTTAAGAACCCATTAGGTCATACTTTGCAAACCTGTACTCCACAAAATTGGAAAATGTGAAAGAAATGTATAATTTTCTGGGTAGGTACCACATACCAAAATTAAATCAAGACCAGATAAACAATTTAAATAGACCTATAACCCCTAAGGAAAGAGAAGTAGTTATCAAAAGTCTACTAACCAAGCCAAACCAAACAAAACAAAAACTCAGGGCCAGATAGTTTCAGCACAGAATTCTACCAGAATATCAAAGAAAATCTAATACCAACACTCCTCAAATTGTTCCACACAATAGAAACACAAGGAACATTGCCAAACTCTTTTTACAAGGCTACAATTACCCTGATACCAAAACTACACAAAGATGCAACTACAAGGAGAATCGCAGACCAATCTTCCTCATGAACGTTGATGCAAAGATACTCAACAAAATACTGGCAAATCAAATCCAAGAACACATAAAAAATCATCCACCATGATCAAATAGGCTTCATCCCAGAGATGCAGGGATGATTCAATATATAAAAATCTGCCAATGTAATCCACCATATAAATAAATTGAAAGAAAAAAAAAACACATGATAATCTCATTGGATGCTCAAAAAGCCCTTAACAAAATCCAATACTCCTTCATAATAAAGGTCTGGGAGACGGCAGGGATACAAGGAACATAACTAAACATAATAAAGGCAATATACAGCAAGCCAACAACCAACGTCAAACTAAACGGAGAGACACTAAAAGTGATTCCACTGAAATCAGGAACAAGACAAGGCTGTTCACTCTCTCCATAACTACTCAACATAGTACTTGGAGTTCTAGATAGAGCAACAAGACAACAAAAGGAGATCAAGGGGATGCAAATTAAAAAGAAAGAAGTCAAACTTTCATTATTTGAAGATGATATGATAGTATACATAAGTGACCTCAATAATTCTACCAGGGAATTTCTACAGCTGATAAACACCTTCAATAAGGAAGATTAACTCAAAAAAAAAATAAGTAGCTCTCCTATATACAAATGATAAATAACTGAGAAAGAAATCAGAGAAACATCACCCTTTACAATAGCCTCAAATAACATAGAATATCTTGGGGATAACTCTAATCAAATAAGTGAAAGACTTATATGACAAGGACTTTAAGTCTCTGAAGAAAGAAATTGAAGAAGATATCAGAAAAAGGAAAGATCTCCCAAGCTCTTGGATAGGTAGGAAAAACATAGTGAAAATGTCAACCTTACCAAAAGCAGATTCAATGCAATCCCCACCAAAATCCCAACACAATTCTTCATAGACCTCAAAAGAACAGTACTCAACTTCATATAGAAAAACAAAAAACCCTGGATAGCCAAACAATCCTGTACAATAAAGGAACTCCTGGAGGTATCACCATCCCTGACTTCAAGCTCTATTATAGAGCTATAGTGATAAAAACAACTTGGTATTGACATAAAAACAGATAGGTGGACCAATGGAATCAAACTGAAGACCCCGATATTAATCAACACACCTATGAACTCCTAATTTTTGACAAAGAAGCCAAAATTGTACAGTGGAAAAAATGAAAACATCTTCAACAAATGGTGCTGGCATAACTGGAAATCAACATGTAGAAGAATGCAAATAGATCCATATCTATCCCCACACAGAAAACTCAAGTCCAAATGGATCAGCATTATGTTTAAATTTAAGAAACTGCTGTGCAATTGCTCTAGCTTGAAAGCTTTTTGTAAACTGTATCCTGTCAGCTAGCTTGCTCAAAATGGATGACTTTTTGGAACATCTGGGCTAGTCTTAAAACCACCTAGTCTTGTATTAATGTTTAACAGCTTCTGTTGTTCTTTCAAGATAGCAGGTCACAAGACCAACTGCTGGTTCTGCTTCTGTGTGAAATGCTTGCTTGCTCAAGATAACTGAGGCATCTGCCAGACATCTGTTACAAAAGTGAAGCTCTGTTTGCACGTAGGCAGGATGTGTGCCAACTTGATCCCCAAACCGAACCTTGTGGTTTTTGCCTTTATAAACCCAGACTAACAATTACTGGGGACACACTTTGAGAAACCCAAGTCTCGGGTGTGACCCTGGCCAGTCACACTGGCTAAAATTCATTCATTGTCAGACTGGTGAGTCTCTGAACAACCCCAGACCCATTACATCTGGAGGTCTCGTCCAGCTCTGGGTGTTCAGCCAGATTCACCCTTTTCTGTCCAGCCTTGAGTCCTGGGGCTCCCATTGTACTGAGAGCCAAGACTTTGCATAGACCCAGCATTTGGAGGGAGTCAAGTGTCCTCAATGCCTAGATCTCATTGAGAAGCCTTGGGACTGGGAGCTGAGTGATTCGGATAAAACCAGCATTCGGAGGCAACCACGGACAGGTTCTCAACACCTGAATTGTGGAAAAGAGGCATCTGAAGCCCTACCAGAGGTAAATTTCTGTGTGTAGCATGCACCTGTCTGTGAGACTCATGGGAAAGCTGGTGGGACCCAAGCTTGAGGGACCACCGGGACATCATTGGCCCTTGGTATTTGTTTCTGGAGGTAGGGGTAGTCTTCCCAGAAGCAGGGGTTGGCCACCAAGTTAGAGAACTGTATGTTTTGTGTTATGTGGGCTGCTTTTTGTGTCAGTTTTTCATTTTTGAGCAAATTGAACAACAACAACAACAACAACAACAAATCTTCCACCAAGAAAGGCCGTTTAGTTCTGACGAAGTCTCATTTTAAGGATTTCCAGAGAGGAGCCAAGGAGTCTGGAGAACAGGTCTATATAGGAAAACTAACTGCCTTTTGTTCCTTTGATTAGCCTTCATTTCAGGTGGACTAGTCATGTGACGGTTCCTTCAAATTTTCTCTTATTTACAGAGCGCAACATGTGATCTTTAGTAAACCAGGACACATGGCCAGCTCCCCTACAATTTGTCTTGGAAATTCCTGGTAGAGGAATCTCCATCCTGGATGAGAAAGTACCAGCCAAATCCTTCCTCTAATGCCGCCATTTTTATTTCAGAAGAAATCAATAAGACCAAGGGGCAGGGCAGATTTCAGCCTCACGTTCTACTAGCCCCACCAGAAGAAGATGTGCCCCCACCCTATATGCCTGGGGCATTAGGAAGAAAGAGGAATCTGCGGCCAGAGGCACTCCTGAGTCCTGCTCGCATCCAGAGTGGGTCCTCCTACCAACCCGTCTTGCCATCATTCATTGTCTCTAACTTTGACACCTAGTCCCCTTCTGACTTTCTCTCAGGTGCCTCTTGTCTGCCTGCTTTTCCTGAGGCTGTGATAGTCTTCATTTGCTTCTGTCTCAGGGACACACGCTGTAGCCCCTAGGCCGCCTATTTCACTTGTACCATTCTCGATACTCCCCCAGATCTCCACCTCTAGCTATCCTCCCCTTCAGAGGGACCCCATCATGGGGAGTCATGCAGAGCAAGGAAGGCAGGAGGGGCCATCAGTCAGTCAGCTATGGTCTGTGTTTTCCTCTCTACTAGTGTTCTGTATACCTGGAAGCTCCAAAATCTTTTTCCCAGAAAAACCCCAAAGCGTAATCTCTGTGCTAGAAATGGTGTTTTACATGCATCAAGCGACTTGGGCGGACTGTCAGTAGCTACTTCAAACCCTCTCCACTATAGAGGAGAAGGAGTCTGATGGGAAGCTCAGAAGCAGGGCTTGGGAAATAGTGGGAGACTGACTGCTGATCTGGTGACAATTGAAGTTTTTCCTTCCCGAAAATTAGACCAGGATCCGAATCCCCACAAAGGTAGGGAGTCTCTTAACCTCTTTCTTCAGACTTTGCTGGGCAGGCAGTCTCTAGCCCTAACAGAATGCCCCACAAATTTTGTGCCCCACCAATTTGTCTAAGGTAGATCAGATAACTCAGGATTCAGATGATTTGCCATCTGCTTCTCTGGAATGCTTCTTAAAAGTTTATATTTTGACCAGGAGGTCACAGAAAACCAGAAGGCTATCAATATAGCTTTTGTTTCTTTATCAGCATCGGACATTAGGAGAAAGATTCAGAAAAGAGAGGGCTTTGAAGCAAAGGTACGTAGTTAGAGCTAGTTGAGATTGCTTCCCTGGTATTCAAGAGGGACACTCTGGAGGACAGGTAGACTAAGAACTTAGCTAGAATTGTGGTGGTAGCTGACCATGGAGCAGGACTTTGGCACCCAAGATTCATGAAAGAAGGACGGAATTCAAGGGAAGTAGATCCTGGGAGAGGTCTTAGGGTAAGAAAACCCGACCATTGGGAAGGCAAATGCCCCGAAAGGGGTGAATATTTTAGTGTAAAGAAACCAACTATTGGAGAAACGCATGTCCAAGCCCAAAAGCAAAGGTCTGCATTTATGCTTCAACTAGATACAGACCGGCAGGGTCTAGCCTCAACCACCCCTCCCCTGGAGTCCAGGATTACTCTGAAAGTGTGTGCTGGGTTGGGGTGAGCATTCCAAACAATTTCCTCATGGATATGGAAATGGGATTTCCCCAGTTCCTTGGTTTTACAGAGAGTGAGTAAACCATTAAGTAAGAAACACTTTAATACAAGAAGCTACTGGTTCACAAATCTGCTCTTGGACCACCAGAGAACTGTGGACCTGGGAAAGGGGGTTGTGACCCACTCTTTCCTAGCCATGCCTGAGTTTCTGTACCCTCTGTTGGGGTACGACCTGCTCCACAAACTAAGGAGAAAAATACATTTTTGAAAGGATGAGATAATACCTAGATTTGGACTGCTGTTGTTCATAGGGTTAGATAATGGACCTACCTTTATGTTTAGGGTTACCGAGAGCATTTCTGCTGTTCTGGGATCAATTGGAAATTACATTGTGTGTGCTACCTGCAAAGTTCAGAACAAGTAGGGAGGATAAATTTGACCTTGACTAAGCTAACTTTGGTGACTGGTGAAAGATAGGTGAGATGGGTGAGGCTCCTTCCCTTTGCTCTTCTTCGAGCTCAGTGTAGTCCATATGTAAAAGGCGTAACTCCATTTGAAATCCTCTTTGGGAGACCCCCCTCTCATTCTCTCTTAAGTGGAACTAGCTCCCGAAGTTACTAACTACCAACTGTTCAGTCTGTACAGGCTCTGCAACTGATTCAGGACAGTGTGACCTCCTCGCTTTCCAAGTTCGCCGCCACGTCATCCACACTCCTTTCAGCCAGGAAATAAGGTGTGGATCAAGAGACTCTGAGCTGAGATACCAGGACGACCACACCTCATCATTCTGATCGTCTCCCCCGGCTGTCACGCTGCCACGGCAGATAGCGTCTAGACAGTGCCCAGCGTCCACACCTGGATACATCACTCTCAGGTCAAGCGTGCCATTGGGAATAACAACCTAGCTGCAGAAAAGTGGACTGTTATCAAGGCCTGTGAAGATCCACAAAAGACTAGAGTGACATGGGTTTTAACTTAATGGTGTTGTTTTGTCTGGCTATATCCCCTTCTGTTCTTTCCTGGAACCCAAGTTGGAAGCGCCCACCTCCCCGGGCTCCTATACCAACCAAACCAACTCCTAGTGCATGGAAGTTCCAAGTAATTGCCTTGGAAAACCGCAACAAGACCATAGCCTCTACCTTCTGTCCGGTCACAGGATGTGCAAGTACTATCAGCCTCACCTTTGATATAAGGGATACCTGCCAAGGGAAATGCATAAATGACTTCTACAATGCTATGACCTCTCCCATATATGTCTGTTTTGTGTATGAGCAGACTCGCTCAGACTGTCGGGACCCAAATTACGGAGGATGTCCACACTGGGGCTGCAAATACCATAGTACCTGGCCCAGATGGGGTGGAGAAAATCCTTCCAGACTCAACTCGGTTGATTGGCATACGAAGGTTACCTACTCCATCCCTGACCCCTGGAATGATAGATGGAGGAGGGGGGTCGTGGGTTTAGTCTACAGACATAATGAGAAGGATACAGCCTATGACGGGAGAACTAAGATACTCATCTTTAGAGCTTTAGCCAAGTTCACACCTTAAAATTCCTTTACTCAAATGCTATAAATACTGTACCTGCCCTGGCCCTGTAGCTGGGGTTCACCGACTGACATCACTTCCTGCCACAACCACCTTTCTCTCTCCTCCCACTAACCCAACCTCTCTGGCCTCCTTTGAGTCCCTAATGGACATGTTAATACCATATACTTGCTCATGAATGTAACTAACCCAAATGCTATGTCTAATTGCTGGCTCTGTATCTCCCCCAAACCCCACAACTATGTAGGACTCACTATCTATCAGAGCCCCAGTTCACCCATTCCCTTTGCTAACTGTCCATGGTTGTCTTTCCACTTGACCATCGAATTGATTAACCTAGACCAAATTCAAGGTGTGTGGGGGAGATCTACCCCTTTGAGAATAAATGCAGATTCGCTGTAAACATTTCTCAGTTCCTAGCGACCACATCGCCAGTGTTCATTCCGTCCTTCACGGCTTGGCAGAAACTGTCTAGCTGTTTTGGACTGATGGATTACACTATGTCTGTCTATCTGACATATGTAGCAAGCCCCAAAACTCTGCATCTTGGTATCCCTGCTCGTCCAGTGTGTATTTAGGATGGTCCAGCAGGGAGAGAGCACTTATATTTGCAGCCTTCCAGTCCCCGGGTGCAGGAAAAACAACAGCTTGCCATTCCCCTCCTCTCAATAAAGCTTAGGCTCAGCTACAGCAGAAGCTGCTCTTGGTGCCGCAGGAACAGCAAAGGCTGGCGTTAACTTCAAAAACATAGGATGTCAAATAACCTCCGATCTATCCATATTAGAAAAAAAAAATCTATTGCCAAGCTAGAGAAACAGGTGGACTCATTAGCTAAGGTGTTTCTACAGCGTGGGACCTGCTCTGTGCAGAGCAAGGAGGCTATTGTATGGCTTTAGGGGAGGATTGTTGTTCCTATACAAACCATTCGGGAATTATTAGAGATAACTTGGCTGTGCTCCAGGAAAACCTCGCTAAAAGAGAGAAGGCTCTAAACTGGGATGACCAATGGTTCCCCTTCTCATTCTTAGGTTTCTCATGGCTAGGAACCCCACTGTCAGCTGTTGCAGGGTCCTCAGCTCCGTGCTCCTGGTGATTCCAGTCGGCCCCTGCAACAGCAGTGTCTGAGCCAGATGCACACATTAGACGAATGGCTTTTAGGTCCCAGTATGAACAGGCACCCACCGCAGAGTCAAGGCTTTGACCTAGGACACATCTAAAAGGGAGAAGGTGATGATTTACATCGTGTTTAAAACTCAGAACCTGCTGTCCACCTGCTCTAGTCTGTAAGCTTTGTAAACTCTGTCCTGCCAGCTAGCTTGTCCAAGATGAACGACTTCTTGGAATATTTGGGCTAGTCTTAAAAACTGCCTTGCCTCGTTTGGTCAAAATGTTTAACTGCCTCTACTGTTCTTACACGATAACAGGTTACAAGGTAAAACGGCCGGTTCTGCTTCTGTATAAAATGCTTGCTTGCTCAAGCTGAGGCATCTGCAGGACATCTGTTACAAAAGCTAAGCTCTGCCTTCACATAGGCAGAATGTATGCAAACTTAACCCCCAAACTGTAACTTTGTGGTTTTTGCCTTTATAAACCCTACCTTAACGATAGCTGGGGACACACTTGGAGAGTCTGGAATCTTGGGTGTAACCCTGGCCAGTGGCTAATAAAGTCTCTCTGCTAAAATTCATTCATTGTCAGACTGGTGAGCCTCTGAATGACCCCAGACCCATTGCAGCAGCCGCAGCCACCACCACCGCAGCAGCCGCAGCCACCACCACCGCAGGAGCCGCAGCCACCACCACCGCAGGAGCCGCTGTCATTACCGCCAGAGCCGCCGCAGATCTCCTGGGAGCTTGTTAAAGGCTCTGCTCCCGTGGCCATAGTGAACTATCAAGGGGTTTGGAGGGTGACTATGAAAATACATCTCACTCTCAATCAACTTCACGTCTACAGGCATCTGCTGGCCACCCCCTCCTGCTTCTCTCGGGGTCAGGGGCTGTTTTCACGCTAACCAAGCCTATTCCTCCCACATCTCCCTACTGAGATGGCATTGCAAGGTTGATCTATCAGTTGTGCCTCGGCCTCACCACAGCCACCTGCACCGAGGGGCCTGTCGGCAGGTCTGGGTCTCCCTTCCTTCCTGCTGGTTCTGGAGAAAAAGTGTTACTTCAGACCGGGCTTCAGACACCAATATTTGTTATATCTCCCCAGCCAAGTCCTAAATGCCCTTAGAACTACGTTTCTTAGCAGATCATGGTCACATAAGCAGGCAACTTCACCAGCTGTGAAACTGAGAGAAGAGAATCAGAAATTCAAGGTCATCCTTAGCTACACAGTGAGTTTCAGGACAGCTAGGGCTATAAGAGATCCTATCTGAAGAAAATGAACAAAACCAAAACAAACCAGCTGATAACCAAGCAAGCAAGCAACCAAAACATGCACTTCTAAAACTCACCTCATTGAAGGAAGCTTGTGCAAAGGAAGTCTGCACTTCTATCCAGTGCCATGGGACATGCTGCCACTGACTTGCATTTTACGCATGAAAAATTAAAGCAGCCATGTTCTATTCAAAAATAGATACCAAAGTCACCATGGAGTTTTGAAAACCATCAAAGTGTGGGCCCATTCCTAGAGATTCTGATGTAATTGTGTTCAGAGAGGCTGAAAACTGAGAACTGTATAGCTTTCTAGATCAGCAGTTCTCAGTCTGTGGGTCATGACCCCTCTGGGGGTTGAATGACCCTTTCACAGGGGTCAGCCATGACCAAGAGAAAACACAGAGATTCACACTACAACTTTTAATAGTACCAAAATTGCAGTTATGAAGTAGTAATGGAAATAATTTTATGCTTGGGGGCCACCACGACATGAAGGACTGTATTAAAGGGTCGAAGCGTTAGGAAGGCCGAGGACCACTGATGGAGACGGTTGGAGTGTGCAGCCAGTTGGGACATGCAGATGTCAAAGATGAACAAACTGCAGAATTTTGATGGTGTGGATGCCACTTCATGCCTTACCTCCCTCCGTTCATGTTGTTTTTTTTTTTTTTCCTCCAAATAGCTATTGATGACCTATTCACAGCTTTAGAATAATCTCTGGAATCATATCCTTAAACCAACACTTCTTAGGCCTCCACTTCCTAGAAGTTTTCATAAAGTCTCTCTTGGTTAGTCTGGACTTGACAGAGGTTTGAATGGAAGAGAAGCTGGGCCTTGCCTACTTCTCCCACTGCGGATTGTGGTTCGCCCTGAGGTTCGCATCTCCCTTCCTCTATCAACTCAGAGCAGGGGCCTGGCTACTCTTAAGGCTCTACTTTGAGGTCAGAAGGCCTCTCCTCAAGTCTGTCCAGAGAAGCTGAACCAAATCCACAAGACTGATTGGCACTGCCTAGATTTCTACCCGTGACCCTCTTGTACACTCCCTAACATGCCGTCCACTTTCCTGCCAGTGTAATTCCAGGCTTATTTTGCAGTTACATAGTCTCTGGTCAGCAGGCCCGGAGCCAGTGTAAGCCTCAGGGTAGCCCACCTTCAGGCTGCAAATCTTTCCTCTTCTCTGCCATTGACAAGGAAGCCTCACCGGCTCCCCCGGGGAGTTGCAATCTCTGCTTTAGTACAGTCTTGTTCGCTGCCAGCCTCGTGCTGCCAAAGCTGCCCGTAGCCTCCAGTTATTTTTAAAGCTGTCTTGACAAGTACAGGATTTGATATAATTCAGGGAAGTATTGTAAGCACTTCTAGGGATGGAGGAAGATGAAGCACTAGAACATGTGGCTCCTGGAAACGGGTTTCTTCACCGAGGATGCTGTTGGGGTTAGTGCCACCAGGCTCATTAAAGGCAATCATAGGCTGAAAGGCTCAGATACCACTTCAGATGTGCTGGAACCTCTAACTGCTGGGAATGCGGGAACGGAGGCTGGAGAGACTTGTTGGAACACACTCGTTCCCAGATCCAGGATGGGAGATGCCTTTGAAGCTATGTCTATCAGGTTTGATCCTCCCAGGCCCAGAGATAAAGACAAGATGAATGAGATGTTATTAGCATTATTATTTATACTTAGCGGGGTTTACATCTGGGACCTGCTTTGTGAAGTGCTTCGGGCACTGCTGATTTAAATGAATTTCATTTCTCCCAGCATCACTTCTGGGCAGAGGATGAAGGCTTTAGGTAGCTCTGGAAATAATCACATTTCCTTTCATTTAGAGGCTCATTAGGCCGGGCCTAATGGGAACATACATCCCTTTAGAGTGTGGTCTTTATGGGAAATTATGTCTTTTACAGACACTTGTGTGAGTCAGTGACCTGGGACAGCGGGCTTTGAAGGCTCTCTCTGTTCTCCTCCGTTGGAAGTCTGTTTGTGGCAGAGCACAATCACCATCAGCGTGAGTCACAATCAGCGTGGAGACGACGGCCCCGATGAGGGGCCAGGACGATGCTTTCCTGGAGTCTCTCACAGAGTGGTTGGTAATGAAGTATCAGGGTCACCAGCGCTGGCGGATTACCCGTGGGAACAGTAGCTGCACAATTGAGTGGCCATCAAGGGTCCCCTGGAGGACATGTTGAGCCCACGATTGATGCACCCCTTGTTGGGTCTCTTACTTGGTGTCTAGGAAGGAGGATTGGCATTTTCTCTTGTTTGCATGATGGTAGGGTCCAGAAAATGTTCATCTTTGGGGTCATACTTTGAGATCTGCTGAAGTAGCATGCTAAATCTCTAAGATCTAGGATTCTGAAAACCCTGGGGCAGTAAACTTTCCCTTAACCAGCAAATTTCTCTTCCTTGTATGCACATTCTCTTCACGAGGGTTAGGCTGGGCTGGGCAGTCCACATTTCTACCAAGTACACTAGAGGGTGTGCCATCTTCAGTCCGGTAATGGTACAGACTGGGTGCAGTGCCCTTTAATGGTATGGAAGTCCCCAGCAATGCATGTACTCATTTGAGTGTACGGCTCTGTGCAAATACCTATGCACGCTGTGTGCAGTCTCAGAAGACTTGGCCATATTAGTACCACGAGACTCCTCATGAAACTTACTCCCTATAGTATCCCTTCCCTAGTTTCCACTCCTACCTAACCCTTGGCAACCCCCAATCTGTTCTGCATCTCTATAATTACACTATTTCATAAGTGCTATATTGGTGGAATTATGTAGCACACATACTTTTGTTGTTGGCTTTCTTCATTTTAGTATAAATTTCTTGAGATTAGTCCAAATTCTTTTTTTGAAGAACTTAAATAATTTAACATAATTATATCATTTCATTCCTCTCCTCTTTCCTACCGCTCCCATGTCTGTCCTCCCTCACCCCATCCGTGACCTCTTCTTTAATCATTGTTGCTACATGTACATATAGGTGAACAGTCACGTAAGTACTACCTGTTGAGTCTGTTCAGTGCTGCCTGTACCTATGTGTCTGGTTCCAGGGTTGACCACTTGGTGTTGGAAACCAGTCAAGGCATTCACCCCTGGGGAAAACTAATTTTCCCTCTCTCAGTAGTTATAATTGCCTATGCTCTTCATCTAGGTGTAGGCCTCACGAGACTTTCCCCATTTATGATTAGATGCCAATTGCTGATGGAATAGTCCAGGTCTTGTTTGGGCAGCTATGTTGTTGAGATTTCATGGGTTTAACTTTCCTATTGTAGCTGGAAAACACAATCCCAAAGCAGACTTCCTGGTTCTGTTTCCTGCAATCTTTCTGTCTTCTCTCCTGAGATGTTCCCTGAGCCTTGATATAGGAGTTGTACTGTGGATGTATCGATTGGGGATGGATACCCATGGTCAGTTGTTCTCTGTATTTTGACCAGTTGTGTGTGTGTGTGTGTGTGTGTGTGTGTGTATGTGTATGTTTTGGTTTTGTCTTAGTTAGGACTTCTATTGCTATGAAGAGACACCATGACCATGTCAACTCTTATGAAGGAAAACATTCAATTATGATGGCCCGCTTACAATTCAGAGGTTAAGTCCATTATCATCATGGCAGGAATCAAGGCAGAGTGCAGGCGGACATGGAGTTGAGAACCCTTACATCTTGACTCATAGGCCACAGGAAGTGGTTTGTCTCGCTGGGCATGACTTGAGCATGTATGAGACCTTGACGCCCGCCTCCACAGTGACACACTTCTTCCAACAAGACCATACCCGCTCCAACAAGGCCACAACTCCTAATAGTGCTACTCCCTTTGGGGAATATTTTCCTTCAAACTACCACAGGTCTCCAACTGTGGCAAAAAGAAGCTTCTTTAGTGAGGGGCGGGACCTACACTTACCAGGCTAGGTTGGAGCACAGGATATCTAGACAAATTCTATGTGTATCCACGGTTTACTTTTTCTTATTGTTGAATAGACCAATGTGTGCTTGCCATTTAATAACTCATCGTTGTTTTGTATTGTTGTGGAACTGGCAATTAAACCTAAGGCTTTGCACATGTTGAGCAAATGCTCTACCACTGAGCTATATTCTGAGTCCTTTTTTTAAGTTTTTTTGACAAGGTCTCACTAAATTGTCGGGACAGGCTTTGAGCCACTTTGGAGGCCAAGCAAGCCTTGAGCTTGCTATCTTCCTATTTCAGACTCTTAAGTGTCACTAAGTTCAACGACCATTACTTTTTGAAGAACATTTGTGTTATTTTTAGTTTTGAAATATCACAACCCAAACTGCCACAAACATTTGT